AGGGAAGATAGATCACCAGTTTGGATCCATTTACTCGCTGGTGGTGACTCAGCAATATATCATAGCAGGTAGATTTTAAGAATTTTTAAGTTAAAATATATATTTTGTAATTTTTGCAGAGACATTTAATTAAATTTAAACATCTTTCAGTAAAATTGGATTTCATTTGCTGTTTCAGATATGCATGTTTTTCAAATGTGATTTTTTTCTAATGGATATTGAAAAATTAATATTTTGAATAAACCAGTTACAGACCTGGTTTTCTTTTCTGCTGTTGCTAGGCACATATAATCAAAACATTCGACTGTTTGATGTCAGTACACATCTACATGTAAACACTCTGTTCGGCCATGTTGGTGTTGTTGGAAGCCTGGTGGCGGCCTCTTCTGGTCGATTTCTGTTCTCAGGGTCAGGTGATGCCGTCATTCAGGTTTGTTTATATTTACCTTATTGCACATATATATAATTCCTACAGAAACTGCTGGTGATTCAGCATTTTCTTTTTATGGAATCCAGGTACATACAATCGCTGCGTACAGCTGTTTGACGTTAATTCTTATGAACACACACAATCTCTGAAAGGCCACATTGGGTGTGTGCGTGGGCTGGTCGTGTCCCCCTCAGGCCGCTTTCTTTTTACAGCCTCTGATGATCATACAATTCAAGTGAGTTTATATGTGTGTTATAGCTATGTGATGTTATGTAAATATTGTTGATGGGAAAATTTGTATAATCATTTTTTGCTTGCTCACTGACTGTTTGTATAGTTTGCTGATAACTGCTAGAGGTGGCCTTGGAGATATTTGAATGACTTACCAAAGCAAGATATTTAATAATTACTCCTCTATCTGTTTAATGGATGTGTGTGTGTGTGTGTGTGTGTGCCTAGGATATCTAGTATATTATACATAGACCTAATTGATGTGTCTAAGATATCTATTATATCTAGATGTATCCAAAGTATGTAACAGTTGCCACATTTGATAGAAGGAAAGAAAGTGATGAGGTCCCTCGATACTCTGATTTGCAAAGAATCTTAAGTCAACAGTGACAAGTATCTAATTAATAAATAAATCAAAGGAAATTTGTTTAGAGAGGTTACTCATGAAATTCACCATTACTTTTGGCTATGCCAAAGCCAATTTAACTGTATCATCATTGTAGAGAATTTGTTTTCTAAACAAAGATGGATATAAAGGCAAAAGGCATTTACTGAGACAGTGACCACCTACATGTATTCTTCAGGTTTGGAATCTTGAGAACAATCTCCCCATTATGAGCCTGTCTCGCCACGAGGGTCCAGTCAATGCACTTTCATTACATGGGGACTTCTTGCTCTCAGGGTCTGATGACACTGAAATCAAGGTGAGGTTTTTTGTTTATGTTATGAATTATAGAATCGGTATTGCCTTGATTATGTTGGAAGTGACACTGTGCTAAAGTACTCTGTGCATGACATTGGTGCATTTTCTGGTTAAATAATATTCTTTACTGGTGGATTATATATTAGCTGTCCACTTTTTGTAGCTGGTGTTATCAAAAAATTCTGAGTCAATTTTATTATAAAAATTGTTTTCTATATGGTGTCTTCTTGTGTAACATGCCTTGTGGTTGGGAAGCAATAATACTTCAGAATTATGGTATTTTACTTATTTTGGGTTCCATTGGAAGTATTATGGATTTATATTAATGAATTGTCTTTTTGTATACAGAAAGCTAAAGACAAAGAGTCAATTAAGAAGCTTTACAATTGAATGAATAGGTCAACAAATTGCATATGCTTTGACATATGTACTGAAAAAATGATGAAATGTTTTCCATTCCAGGTATTCAAACACTTTGAGATGCAGATGGGATTTACGCCCACCTAATTTGACACAGCAAGTGGACAACATACACAGCCCTTGTGCATTCAGAATATCATTTCTGGACATATTACATATCATCTATTATAGTGAAGAATGAATAATGATCATACATTCTTTGTCATTGCCTATGATTGTGGTTCAGCCCAAAATGTGCATACTGACTGAAGAGTTAAGAGTCCCAAGAAGGAAGATATCCATATACAATGTGGGCTCAGCTCCGAAAGACAGGATTTATATGCTTATATGCTCCAATGCTAATTATGCTCAACACTGCTTTTTTTAATCATTCCTATAGATATGATAATATTTACAGTTTCCAAAATCTCTTGATAAAATAAAGATGCTTGAATTATGTAATTTACTTACTGATGTTATAATTAGTGTTGTAATAGGATACCATGTCATTACATATTTTTACAACAACTGATACAATATTAGTGCTTTGCTCTGAAAAACCATTTTGGATATTTTTTTACAGTTATATGACCAAGATGTAATTTTAATTGTGCATCTACAATTGTCCCCTTAAGGATAGGTTTTATATATAATTATAGGTATTTCATTAAGGACAGAATATATTTTAAATACACTTAAATATACACAAAACGGTGGAAACCTTGCTTAAGTGAATATTTACTGTGATATGTTTTACTTGCTAAAAAGTCAACATTATTTTTATATTCAGCATATTAGAGCAAAAATATTCCCAAATATTCTCTGTAAAAATATGTCGTACATTTTATAAAAATAAAATCATATGGGTACAAATCAGGAGCTGTGTCTGTATGTAATCTGAAACCACACATTTTCCGTGAGATAAATTAATTGATAAAGTCCACTGCTGAACAAATTGTTTTGTGTCCACTGCGCATTTACTATCGCGGTGCGTTAAGTGCACGTATATGTAGAGGTGTGCCAGTATAAATGTAACCCAGAAACGTGATCGTCATTTATTTTCTGTCTATATACTATATATAAAACATATGCTTATGAAAACTACAAAAGTTAGCAAATCTAGTGCTATAAACAACATGTCACTACCTCTACTTGCAATAATTTTATTGTCATTTAAAAACTTGGCCCAAAGTAGGCCTATTCTGTTGTGTTGAAGAAACTTAAATTTTACGGGCGAAGTTGTCGATGACTTTGATACAATATTCATTTGTGATAGCAGGGTGTTCCTGTAGACTCGGTCCTTCAGACATCCCCGAGGGAACTCTGTTTGGAGGTTCTAAACAAATTCTGACATCGACTGGGGCCCAGGAGCCGTGGAATAGGTGCAAACAGGGTTCAGATGTGGTACCAGCAACATGGGGCTATCCCTCATACACCTAATGTCTGTCTGGGGTGGCTAGACTGGAACATTCCCAACCGACTCATCAACTTCAAACGCCTACTTGAGTGGTGTCGGCATTCCCCCTTCCCCCTACTTTTAAAAATATACCAACAGAATCACTGAATCAGATCTGGGCCGGTCCAAATCATAAATATTGGTTTGTGAGAAAAATGACGAGCCCACTGCTCATTTGCACCCTCGGGGGTTCAAAGTTTCACGGGCGACGTGATGCCTCGTTTCATGCACACTGATAACCCGTTTTGATGTAATTTTATGATTTTATACATAGCTATGGCGATAAATTGGCGGGAGAGCTGGAGTTGAGGTTTAGACTGCTGATATAACTGGCGTGTACATTATATCTACATACTACACTTATCAATATAATCTGAAACGATGTCCTTCAGTGCAAGAGGGAGGTGGTGGGAGAGAAAAATGTTCGAGAAGCAGAGATATATATGTAAACAAAAATTATGAATTAGCACTTTAATGTACGCTATTTGATATATACAGGCCCGTAGCCAGGGGGGTTCCAAAGAACCGCCCCTTTTATCAGGAAAAGGTCCAGTTTTGTTAAAATTTTATCTAGGTATACATAAGTTTCATTGTAAAAGGTCCACTTTTTCAGAAAAAGACCCCCACCTTTTGAATTTGCTGGCTACGGGCCTGATATACCACTTGCACACATGGTAGGCATTAAAAAGCATAAAACAAGTATGCTGACTTGTGTATAGAGAAAGATAGACAGAGAATGTGAGAGAGGGTGAGATACATGTAACGAAAAATTATGCGTTATCACATGTACTTACGCTTTTTGATATTGACCACTTGCACACATGGTAGGCATCAACAGGCGTAAAATAAATGTTGACTAGTGATTTTTTGTTCTAAGAGAGAGTGATAGTGAGAGAAGAAATAGAAGAGACAGGGAGTGAGAGAAGTAAGAAATGGAAGGAAAGTGGTGTCTGCGATCACCCCTACGTGAACACTGTAGCTCTTTACCGACATGTTAACCAGCATTTTCCGTAATCACACAACAATCGTTATCACCAAGCACATCTAATCTCTTTTCCACAAAAGGCGCATTTAAACAAGGGCATTAGTGCAACCCAGGTTCGAAATTAGGGCATTTATAAGCTGCCAGTGTCTTTGATTTTAGAAGTGGTGCACACAATCTCTTATAGAGAACTGTTATTTAAGCACAAATTCAGAAATAGCAATTACATCGAAAGAAATGTTTGAAATAAACGAGAAGCAGGAATAATTTATAGCAAATTAAAACTGTTCAGGTGTATCAGTATCATTCCATTCTTATCAATAACATATCAGGATAACAATCTCGATATCACGCGAATGTGATGGACAATGTTGTCCACGGCTACGGAGAAATAGTTAATTGCAATGGGCAACTATGAACGCAAATGATATGACAAATACGTTCGACAAAAATACTGCCAAGCTGCAAGTTTTTAACTAGTTGATAAACATGTTACCTGTGCAGATAAAATAGTGAATTGACGAATGGACGACCCTTGGAATGGGTGATTTTCTACGGAATTTGTACTGCGACACACGGATTACACCCGGACATTTCACCTGTTTTACTCTCAATTTAACATACGGAATCTAAGAACGCTTAAATTTTGATAAAACCCTCCTAGGAATAGTGTGCAATTAGGCCTACGTCATTTAACAATAAGAGACAAGGACATTTCTAGAACATTATCAAAACAGTTTTGTCATGGATAGCGTGGGCAACAAGGGGCCGTCGGAACGCGATTCCTTAGTGAGCACATCCAGTAGTCGAGGGACCTCTTCCGAAACCACGCATAGCCGATACGTTTCTCCACCGATCGAGTTCGTTTTGAATGCAAAGATTCCGACGAAGAGGCCATGGATCGCAATTATGTGTATTTTGATGACTAAAATGTTTACAAAGTGGGCTTTTTGTCTCCTGGTGCAGAATATGTTTAGCTACTGCAATGTGATGCTTGATAAAACGATGGCAGAGGCATATGAAGTGAAGCTTATATTCTCAGGTTATTATTATTATTATTATTATTATTATTATTATTATTATTAACTTTGCATTGACATGGTTTCGTATATTGTCCAAGCATATATGTTAAAACTTAAAATCATGCATTGAATAAATGTAAAGATAGGCAGACAGGTAATATCTATATCTAGACACAGACTTCATATTTCGACTTAGGACTTACCGAGTGTATGGGATCAACTTTTTGCTAACTGGAGTCAACGTAATAGACTTTCATGATTCCATTGAAACTTAAAGGTAGCTAGAATTCGCAGAGAAAATCGCCACCCAATTTTTTTTTTTTTTTTGATTATCTTCATCGACTTTGCTGTTATATTTTCCAGCCGGCACGTTAGTCATTTGTCTCATAGGAGGGTTGATTGCTGACACAGTTCTAGGAATGTTTTTCACAGGAACCTTGTCATTTGTATGGCAACTTGTAGGTAAAATGATAAGCACTGTATGCCGAATTTGTATAAATAGAAGCAGCACAACTTATGTCTATCTTTGTGGAAGTGTTCTGCACTAGAGAAAAACAATTTGCCAGATTATTTGAAAATCCCGAAATAGCAGTAAAATTTAATGTGTATTTGAAATATGTCGATTGTTTTCAATGATTTTATATAGGCTTTAATTTTTATTGTATTTTATTATTGTATATGTGTTATTATAATTTTTTTATTTAGGATTGTTGTTCATTCTTGGTTCGACGTTTACAGAGGTAGGCTTGATTTAAGTACTTAAACACAATTTGACATTACCTTTTATTCAACCTATATATATGAGAACATTAAGAGATAACAACTCTTTATTTTGGCGGAAAAGTGCCATTAAATTGATTTTCCTGGGGTAAGCGACGATTATCCCATATTTTCCAATGGTTAATGAATCTGTTGCCACACTCAAAGTTTCTAAATTGTGTTTTAGTAATAATAAGAGATTATTACAGAGGGTAGCCATCTGCGAAGGTTCATGTGGTCTGATAGCAAGCACAGATTTCAGAATAATTTGTTATACCGGCCGTTTTGGCGATAGAATGGAATTTATTATATTTCTATGTGTTTACAGTTTTTGATCTCATATGAAGAGTTGTTATCTCTACAAGCCAGGGACCGTCCGTTGAGTTATAACAAGAACTCGCATGTTTTTCTCGCTTTCAAAAAACATTCAATTCTTTTAAGACGACGATATTTTTTTCCATTTCGACATAAGTACATTAGTACCAGTGCGATGACTTTTACATTGGTTGTATATATTTTTAATTAATTAATTAAGTGATTATAATAAGAATATTCTCAGTTAAATTAACTTTTTGCTACGCGTGTAAGTAAAATTTAAATTAGCAGAGACCTGGTTGTCATTTCTTAAAATTAAGGGAACATATCTTTGCTACATGTACGTACATGTAAGTGGTGAAAAAAGAAATCCATGAACGATCACTTTCACTTTCACTTTCACTTTCAACTGACAAGACAAAAATGAAAGGCATCTACATGTATGCTAAATAATTGTCTCATTTCCATGTCACGAAGACAGTTGTCAGTCATTATGTTTCACTTTTATCACCGTATAGTCTAAGGTCCGCCAGATAATCAAAATTAAATTTAAGTAAAAATCAGTTATCATATTCGTTTCAGAACACAGCGGATGCACATCCACGTACGGATCTGTACATGGTCGGGTTAGGTTGTACAGCCATAGCTTACAGTGGTCTAAACGCCATACTGGTTGTATATGGAGCGGAGCAGCTACGCAAAGATAGCCACAGACAGTCGTATATACATTGGTGAGAGACGACATTTTTTTAATGATAATAAAAATATGAACGCGATCTTGCTCGTGATCCTCTGTGGAGAAGTTAGTGATATTGTTGATTCGACCTCCCCCCCCCTCCGCCAATACTTTGTGTCACGTAGCAAAGATTACGCTTTTCATAAAGGAAAGAGACTATAGTTATACCGATTTAACATTGTAGCTTTTAGGCCGATTGAACGCAAATATATTAATGTTCATTTGAAACTTAAACGTTTTATTAATTCTAGTTAGAAACGATAGTGAAAATGTATTTTTTCAAAATATAAACAATAATGCTACGTAACATAAATTTACCACACATTCCACTGGAGTGACATTAATAATCAGTGGTAGAGATCTGAAACGTTTTCTTTCTCTTTGCAGGAACTATTTCTTTAACAACTTTGGTGCCTTACTGGGTGTTCCCGTGACAACCTCCCTTGCAGTGGTCGAGTTCTCAACGAACACTCACTATTACTTCGTGGCCTGCTTCACAACTGCCGTCATCGTGACGGCACTGGCCTTGTTGGCGTTTACAGCTGGATTTAGGCATTACAAAGATACAACAATACGAGGTACCTTAGCAAACAGAACGTTCTTATAACGTTATCATAACGTTTACATAACTTAAAACGTTATGATAACGATAGGGCAGTCTTTTAGGCTACATGAGCAGAAGTTTTTATATCTTGCATGCTATACATGTATATACTATATCAAGCATGATACATGTACAGCTAGTTATGTTTTGTGACCATGGTGATATACGCTTTATTCGGTTTAAAGTTGTGTTTACATGCATACAGAGAGAACCCAGCAGGCATAGTGACGTTGGATCAACGTTGAAAACAGGTGGATACGTTGAATTGCCGTTGATCTACCTAAATTCAACGTAAAATCAACGTTGATCCAGCCACGTCAAAACACCGTCATAATGTGACGTTGACTCAACATTGTATTTTGGTCACTGACTCAACGTTGTTGTTTGGTCGTTGTGATGCACGGCATGGATTGTAATTTAAAACATTAATTATTGAAAACGTGATACTTTGTTTATCAATACTGTAACTAACTTTATCAAAATATTTAAAAAAGTGTTTTAAAGTAAAAGTGACTGTTGTTTTGTGTCTTTAGTGAACGAGTGAATTTTCTTAACTTGTTATTCAGAAATACATTCCAATAAACTTCCTTGCAAGGTCAGCTAACACTAGGATGAATAAGTGGCTGTAAATGTGAAAGAGTGAAGTTAACAAAGTTGACAGTTCTCGGTACCCTCTTATAGATAGACAGGTTGAGATGACTATAACTTTGTTATATTATATATTATATATATATAAACTAAACCTTGGAAATCCTAACTTAAAGGCCATACATATATAACCTACATATATTTAGCCATCAAACATGTCCTACTGCTAAACGCATCCAGGCTAAAAGGGTGTACCATGCTTAGGTGCAAAACATGCTTAGAAGCTAAATGCGTTGAAAAAATCAGACAAAGCAGGCACTTGGTTGTTTTTACAGTGTACGTTATAATTGTGTACTTGTGTTTGGCACCAAAAATAAAAACATTTCAGGTCATTTTAATGTCTTTTCATGCAAGAATGTTGTCTAACAACTGGGGTTGATATAATGTTGTTATCTGACGTTGATCCAACTTTCAAATCCAACGTATATCCAACGTCTTATCAACGTCATGGTTCAACGTTGTTTCAACGTTAAAACAACATAATTTGCCCGCTGGGAAAGTACTCATACTTCGTCGAAAATCATCCCAAAACTAAGCGCGAATAAAGTTAGCGTATATCGCCATGGTCAAATAACATCTCTAGGTATGTATCTCAAACATTCGAACTGTTAACACGGAAAGTCACATTCACATGTACAGATATGTCAGCCCTTTAAATATATAATGCCATATCGTTTCAGGAAAGAAAATCCTCCATGCTGTGAAGGCGGCCTTGTCTTCTACACCGGGGTGCTGCCGGACTGTCCGGTCAATACTGACGAGTCCTGCGGGATCACGATATTCTACTTCTGTGCCTCACAACAACGACGACACAAAACTGGATACCGCATTGCTACAGACGTACGACCGGCTGACGGCTCGGGGAATTCTCCGTGTATTACTGATCAGCTCAGCATTCCTTGGTTTTGCCGTGTACTACTATGGGGTAAGGTCAATGGTGAACTTGGACGGCATTTTATAAATAGGACTTGAGATTGTCACGTTTTTTTCAAAATTATATTCATAATGCAATAAAAGTTATTGCTTTCTCGAATTTAGGCCCCAGTTTCACAAAAACTGAAGTCAGTTCCCTGGCTTAGATGACTAGGATTTCAATGAAAGTGCTGTTACACTGTTCTTGATACGATGAGGTGTGCGCACGTGACCATGTAATGTTGGTAATTTTAAAAGTTCTTAGCCAGGGAACCTGACTTAATTTTTTTTGTGTGAAACTGGGTACAGAGGACTTTTGGGATCTGAAACGGGACCCGTCAAAAGATTAAAGTCGTTGCTATTCCAATCAAAACATTGGGATATGTGCTTGAAAATTGATAATTGAAATTCATCATTGCGGATCAGTTACTCCGCGGATCATCTGTTCTGAATGCCCTTTAAGACTAGGTTCCCATACCTAGATCGATCTAACAGGATCGATCCATCTCCAAGGGCTTGCTATTTTGCTTTCAGCTTAAGCGGCTAGGATGTCTGGCACGCCTACTGAAGCTGCTAAACGATAATTAATTACCCCTAATAGTTTCAGTAGGCGTGACAGACATCTAGGCCGCTTAAATTGATTGCAATTTAGCACTTACCCTTGGAGATAGATCGATCCAAGGTCTGGGAATAAAAATCTCATCAAAAACTGGTTTCAGTTAATCGACTCGGCGCTAGTCTTACAGTCGGAGGGCATGAAGATGTACAACTTCACTCTTTACCATGTGCCGGATGATGCCAGTAAACTGGAAGCATTCAATCTGGCCGGGGTCTGCCTCTTGATACCAATCATGGACCTAATCTTATACCCTTACCTAAGAAAGAGGGGAAGTAAAGTTCCATGTGACGCCAGGATATGTAAGTACATTGTATGTGGTGAATATATACTACTATAAATTTTTATAGTTTAATACATTAAATAGAGTTACATTTGACTGCACAAATACAAACGGTTTTAATAGCAATTGAGTAACATTTGAAAGCACAAAAACATCGACTGTAGTTTTTCGGGTAATTGAATAACAATCGGCAACACAAATACATTTAGTTTTTAAGGTAATTGAATAGGCATAATATTGGTCAGTAGAAAAGCACGCTTATTATATATGTGTATGTATAGGTGACAATCTCGTCAATACAACCTACGTGTTTCGGGGTTTGTCATATAGCATACTATACTTTTTATGACTTTTGCTTCAGTTTCACCATTATGTATTGTAGAACCGTATATCAATATATAACCATATCTGTGATATCCTGTTTATTCAAAAAATGAGGAACATAAAAGATATATGTGGGCTTCGGAAATTTATAACATAAACAAATAGTACAATTTAAATACTTGATATATTATGAGTGCATCTGCATAATCATGTCATTTCAGTAACTGGTATGGCTATAGGAAGTTTAGCTGCAATTTATTCAATAGTTCTAGAGGGACAAAGAAAAGAAATTTGCGAACTGAATGATGGGGAACCAACTCTATCCTGGTTTTATATAACACCTTCGATTACATTTCTTACAGTAGCAGAGGCATTCGCTTTCGTTGCAGGTACTTTCATTTTCCAAAGATGTAAAATGAGAATCCGAAATTAAAGGTCTGCCTCCGTCAAGTTGTGGAGGTCATTTGATTAATTGCGCTTATATTTATCACAACAATAAAGGGCATATGCATCGTAATTTATTTGAAATATTCATGCGAAATTGACATTGGCTGTGCACTGTAATAGGGTATAATCTTTCTGTCTGTCTGTTCGTGAGCAAAATCTAGATTCTCGGTGTACTTTGATACAGTTTTCTATCACCTACTATTAAACTTAACAGTGAAGACTTAATATATAGTTGTGTACTTGGGTGTTAATTTTTTTATTCTTTAGCACTGCGAATTTTTTATCAATACCTTTCGACAAAACAGATGGTGCTAAATATCGATTGTAAAAGAATGCGTTTGTTCAAAAACGTTTTATCAATCAAATGTGAACCGGAAAGTATATGATTGGTACTAATGTTTTGTTTCTTTTTATTTTAATTATATTTTAGCATATGAATACTGCTACCTCCAGGGCCCGACGGGTCTCCGTTGTGTGTCGGTAGGACTGTTAGATACGGCCACTGGTCTGTCTAGTTTTATCGCCATCGGAATAAGAAAGCTTGTACAAGATAAGCAAAGATGTACGTTCGTTGTATAGTTTTATTGCCATTGAAATAAGAAAAAGTATACAAATCTAGCAAAGATGCACGTTCGTTGTATAGTTTTATTGCAATTGGAATAAGAAAAATTATACAAGATGAGCAAAGATATACGTACGCTGTATACATGTACCCTCTACCAGGGCGACAGATTGATTTTTCCACAGATTTGTCTCTAGATAAATAGACGTCATTTTGGTCTTATGTCAGCAAAAAATGTCCACAATAATAATTGCAGCCCTGGTAGAGGGTAGTATGCATGTAGTTGCGAGCACGCAATCCCGCACGCTGACCGAGTATACTGTCCGAGTAAATAAGCCAACTGAAGTTGTTTCAGTATTTTAACACCAAATGCTAACAAGCATTTGGATGGTTGTTGAGGAACGGGCTATAATCGAACGAGGCCGACTGCATTACATCGTTTTTTTTTTTTTTTGTTTTTTTTTTCAAATAGCGTTAATGAGTCATATCTGGAAAAACAAAGCACAATTCTGGCTGCGCTGAAAATTTTTACTCAATCGTACTCTTACTCTTTCATGTAATGGTACGTTTTTAAACAGCATCTAACTATTAATTACACTTACTGTCGCGTTTAGCACCTGTAATTAAAAAGGATACCATTATCATTTATAACTGGGGATAGGAAAAGATGTCTCACAAGAACCAAGCTTTGTTCGCAGGGCGGTCCATAAAGTAGACCTATTCTAAATTGAAGTGGAAAGTAAAATATTGTTTCTAATGGACCGCCCTGTAGACTCTGTACTTAAGCACTTATATAAGAAACGGAACGTATAAAAAATGAAATAAGATATAATTGCCAACTCTTCATGACGTAATATTTACGTTGTCTACTTTCAGCCTGGTTTCCAGACAAACATGCAACCAAAGTCTGCGAGCTTGGCAACAAGAGCCGTTTAGAGAATTTCTTCCTGATACAGCTGGGAATTCTTTTATTGTCTGCAGTTTCATACCTGTGTGTTATTTCTAGCATAGAAAAACTGCAAAACATCACCAGGGTATTCGTTAAGAAGCGCCCAGAAAAGTCTGTGTTTGGCTCTGTCAACACCAGCGAAAACGACGAAGAATTAATGGAATCTTCTTACGAAGAAATACGGAATAGCAGGCATTTAAGCGGTGACAATAGCAGTGAAATGTTCGAATCGTGGGAGACCTATGACACGTTAGACATTTCCCAAGCGGGGCCAGGGGACGCCAACGCCCAAAGCTCGTTATCTAGCTCCATGTCTAGTGCTGTCCTCTATGTTCAACCCAGTGAACAAGCCAGCGCCCCCTGTCGGACAAAAAAGAAGAAGCGCACCAGTAAAAAACATCTTCCATGCACATCAGATGACACAAAAAGCAGCCTGTCTGCGTCTGTATCTGTGCATGTAAATGATGAAATGAAATCAAACCGTTTGTCTTATGACACTATAGACACAATGCTGTGAAGATTGTGAAATTTTCCAGCGTACTGATCATAATTTAGATTAGAATCTTATGTTAGACGACTGGGACAATATTGTACAGAAAAAGTCAAAAAGGTTACATGTAGGTGCTTTTTTCCAGTGCACTGTGGACTGCATGAAATTGACAATTGTTTCAGATAAGCCTATAAGAGACTAATGAGTGTAATTATTTATACAGCTAAGAACAATTTACAAATTCCCAAAATTTGTGTTGTTTTCAAGAAGAAACAGTTTGGAGGACTTTGCTGTCATTCAGTTGTTCTTTTCTGTATTTTTGGTGGGAGGTGAATCAAGCCTTTTTTGTTGACAGATATAATGTTACAAACGACCGTGAATGACATGTGTGTAGTACTTAGGCCTATAGTCAAAACAATGGTAGGTAATGGAGATGATATACAACTATTTTGATAGATGCAATGTGTAACAAATGTTATGCAAATTTTCATAGTTTTGTCATTGTTATTATATGAAAGTATATGAAAATATTTCAGCTAAAATGCCTTTCCGTGATAATAACCTTCTCAGGTAACCGGATTGTGAAATATTGGTATAATTTATGGCCACGGAAAACCTCAAACTTTTAGGTAATTACACTGCTTACCAAGGATGTAATGACACGATCATTTCTCTTATAACGTTAAATTGTGTGAGAGAGTGTAATACTGAACACTCATATATTTTTATTTGATTATAAGACATTAACTCAGCGTTCGAAAACCCCCAAAATAATGTTTTTCCTAAACAAACATAACCTTCCATTACTTGCACGTTGGCTTTAAAGTTCAGATTAATTCAGTTAAGATGACGGGCTTGATTCAAAAGGAAGCAAAAACACGAACCCATGAAAGCATTTTAATGGATTCAAAAACATCAAGCGTCTAATTGAAACATGCATATAAGGCGTTGGTTCTTCTGACTGTTAAAGTTAAATCTTCTGACTAGTAAACTACTTATTTGACTAAGACAACACCTATTGCACAGAAATATCCGCCTTATATTTCAAATTAGTAAATTTTGATATCAAAGCTTTTAAAAATATGAGTATATCAAGAATTGTACCAAAAAGTGATTCTGTAATGTTTTGAAAAATTGAAGTAATTTTTTTTTTCGTGCGAATGGTGTATTCGCCATTGATCACAAAATGGTTATGGAAAATTAACTAATTACAGTAGCCTACATGTACTAGCTTTACGTATATATAGGAGTCACAAAAGGCATGAAGGTCCATATAGGAGCAATAAGTATAACAAAAAACAGGGGTTGTTTCACAAAAAAGCAAGCCCAAAATTTGTCTAAACTATTAGACCCAAAATAAAGTGTACTTCCGTCCAAGATAAATCAATGATACTCCAATTAAATAAAATTTTGAATTATTGCTGTTTATCTTGGGTAAAAGTAGGCTTAAATCTTAGTCTTAAAATTTAAGCAAAGTTTTGGACTAAAGTCAATGTAATATAATAATTCACGTGGTGTAGGTTAAAGGCCAATGGCGTGAGGCGGGCACTATGTATGCAACGTGACATGCGAAGCGTGGACTTTTTAATTCTTTAAATATTTTAATTTTATACATGTATGTTGTTCCAATACTATATCTGGCGACAGGATGTGACACTTGCAGCGGTGAAAAAATGCACAAATGACTGGAATCCACAAGGGAATTTCAACATCTTCCAACACATTTATCAGTGTCGTTCGGAGCTTTCTATCTCAAACTCTGATGGAATTATTCTGACAGGACGACAAATAGTTTATATAACCACGCCGTGAGTATTGCACATAACGGACATCAGGGGATTGTGAAAATTGTTGCTTTACTACGTCAAAAGGTGCGGTTCCCTAAAATGCAAAAACTTGCTGAGGACACTGAAATCGTGTAGACACTTCTAAATTTCAACGGATGTAACCACGCGAGAGCCTCTTCGCATGACAGAACTCCCAATTTCTCCTTGGACAGAACTTAGTGCTGATTTTGGATTAAATGGCCCTAGATTCATCCACCCACCGTATGAAAGAAAACAAATGACACCGAAAATGGAAATTACATGAAAATGTAAAAGGTATAGTGAAGACTTAGCAAGAGAATGGTGTATTTAAACAGTCTGTGCCACGAATCTTGCTTAATCAATGTTAGGCTACTAATAGAAAAAACAATGCTGATATACAGATTCATTAAATTATAATTGCAGTGAAATGAGATTGCACATCTAATCTCTTTTCCACAAAAGGCGCGTTCAAACAAGGGCATTAGTGCGAACCAGGTTCAAAATTAGAGCGTTTATTGGCTGCCAGTGTCTTTGAACTTGAATAGAAGTCGTGAACATTACCTCATACAGGGGATTTCCATTTAGCAAAAGATCAGATATAACGACTACATTGAAAAAAGTTTGAAATAGACGAGAAGTATGAATAATTCACAGCAAACCAAAACTATTCAGGTGTAAAAAGTACCATTTCAAGCTTATCAACAACATTTTAGGATAACAATCTCGGTGTCACGCGAATGTGACAATGCTGTCTACGGAGAAACAGTCAATTGCAATGGACAACTATGAAATCAAATGATATGATAATACGTTCGACAAAAACACTGGCAAGCTTCATAATTCTAACTAGTTGAAAGTGGTGAATTGACGAATAGACGACCCGTGGAATGAATGATTTTCTGTGACATTTAGAATTATGGAATTTGTACTGCGACGCAAGGATAACATACCGGGACTAGTGTTCAATTAGACCCTTGTCATTTAACAATAAGAGACTGGGGCATTTCTAGAACATTATTAAAACAGCTTTGTCATGGATATCGTGAACAACAAGGAGCCGTCTGAACGCGATTCCTTAGTAAGCATTTCCAGTAGTCGAGGGACCTTTCCTGAAATCGCTCAGAGCCGATACGTTTCTCCGCCGATCGAGTTCGTTTTGAGTCCAAAGATTCCGACGAAGAAGCCATGGGTAGCAATTATGTGTATTTTGATGACTAAAATGTTTACAAAGTGGGCATTTTGTCTCCTGGAGCAAAACATATTCAGTTACTGCAATGTGATGCTTGATAAAACGATTGCAGAGGCATATGAAGTGAAACGTATATTCACAGGTTATTATTATTATTATTATTATTATTATTATTATTATGTTTGCATTAACATGCTCTTGTATATATAATTGCTCATTATATTAAAACTTTCATATTAAAACTTTGACATGGACATTGAATAAATGTGAAGATAAGACAGGAAGGGAGACGGGCAATGTCTTGTGAAGTTAACGTCATTTAAACTTAAACGTCACTGAAATTCTCAGAGAAAATCGCCATCCGAAATTTTTTATTTGTATTTTTTTATCAACTGCTGTTGTATTTTCAGCTAGCACGTTTGTCTTATGTCTCATAGGGGGGCTGATTGCTGACACAGTTCTAGGGATCTTCTTCACAGGAACTTTTTCATTTGCATTGCAACTTGTAGGTAATATGATAAGCACTGTATGCCGAATTTGTTTAAATAGAAGCAGCACAACTTATGTCTATCTTTGTCAGTACTTCTTGTTATATTTGTATAAATAGAAACAGCACTCTTCACGGGAACCTTGTCATTTTTATGGTTACTTGTAGGTAATATGTATGAAAAGCACTGCACGTAAAATTTGTATGAATAAAAGCAGCACAATTAACGTCAATTTTTTTTGTAGGAACGTTCTTCACTAGAGAGAAATAATTTGCCAGTTCATTATCAAGTCCTTAAATATCAGTAATATTTTCTGCGTATTTGAATAATTTCAAATGTGTTCAAAGATTCGATTGAGGCTTTAAGAAGGCAGCGTTCATTTTGATTGAATTTCATTACTGTATATGTGTTATTATGTTTGTTTTTCATTTAGGAATGTTGTTCATTCTGGGTTCGACGTTTACAGAGGTAGGGTTAATTTAAATTTGAATACAAAAACATTATTTGACATTGCCTCTTACTCATGTAAATATGAGCACCTAAGGGACTGTCTGTTGGATTATAATGAGAAAACAAAATTGGCAAATTCATCGCATCTTCCAAAAATTAATTCAATACTTTGAAACGACGATATTTTTTTCCATTTCCACATTAACACCACTGTGATGACTTTTTTACATCGATTAAAGACATTTTTTAAATTTAATCAAATAAAAGGATTAGCTTAGAAATGTTCTAGTTAAATTCACTTTTTGCTACGCCTGTAAGTAATTTAATATTAGCAGCCATTTCCTAAAATTGATGACATATACCTTGCTAGGTAAGTGGTGAAATAAAAAGGTAAGCAAAAAGTCCACGAAAGACCGATTGCACATCTGACTAGACGAAAACGAAAGGCATCATGATCTTATAAATGTATACTAAATGATTCCCTCTTCACGTTATCATGAAGACATATTTCCCTGCTATCACTGTATAGTCTAGGTTCCGCCAGCTAATCAAAATTAAATTTAGGTAAAAATCAGTTATCATGTTCGTTTCAGAACACAGCGCATGCGCAACCGCGTACGGATCTGTACATGGTCGGGTTAGGTTGTAAAGCCATAGCATACAGTGGTCTTGACGCCATACTAGTTGTATATGGGGCGGAGCAGCTACGCAAAGAGAGCCATAGGCAGTCTTATATACATTGGTGAGAGAGACGCGGCCCCTTTAAAAAATGATCATGAAAATGTGTACGTGATCCCCTTAGACTGGGTTCCCATTCCTAGATCGATCTAACAGGATCGGTCCATTTCCACGGGGTTTCTCGCTAAATTGTTTTCAGCCTAAGTGACTTCACCCCATTTCCATAGATTAGATCGACCTACTTTAGATCGACCTAACTCCCTGGGGGTTCACGCTAAATAGCTGTCAGCCGGGCGGACACGAAAGTTAATTACCTCCTTCCAGCTTGTAGTAGGCGGGACGGACATTTAAGTCGGATTATCTGAAAGTAATCTAGTGAGACTCCCCGCGGGGATAGATCGATCTAAAATCTATGGGAGTAGAGCCTTAGATATATGGGACGCCTACTAAAGCTGCCAAAGGAAAGTTAATTACCCCCTATCAGCTTCAGTAGGCGTGACAGACATCTAAGCCGCTTAAGTTTATTGCAATTAAGCGAGAACCCCCTTGGAGGTAGTTAGCAGTCTCTGGGAATGGTCTCCTATTCTCTGTGGAAAAAATGTTATTAATTGTTCGACCGTATGTGTAACGTACTGGTAACAAAGATTGCTCGTTAAATAGGTAAGAAACTATAAAAATACCTTTGGCATTTTAGCTTTTACGCAGGTCGAATGCAAATTAATTCAAACTTATTAATGTTCCTTTGAAACTGAAACGTTTAATTAGTCTCAATTAGGAAGGGTAGTGAAAATGGAAAATAAAAACAATGGCACGTAATATAAATTTGCCACAAACTCCACTGGAATGGCATTAATATTTAGTGGTAGAGATCTGAATCGATTTCTCTCCCTTTGCAGGAACTATTTTTTTGACACCTTTGGCGCCTTATTGGGTGTGCCCGTTACAACCTCCGTAGCAGTGGTCGAGTTCTCAACGAATACTCACAATTACTTCGTGGCATGCTTCACGACGGCGGTCATCGTGACGGCACTGGCCTTGTTGGCTTTCACAGCTGGACATAGACATTACAAAGATACAACAATACGAGGTACCCTAGCAAACACAGAGCGTTCTAATAACGTCACCACAACGTTTATATTACTAAAAACGTTATGGTAACGTTATACGCTACATGAGCATAAGTTTTGATAGCTTGTGTGATACATGCACATGCTAATACGTATCTAGAGGTGTTATGTGATCGTGGTGATATACGCTTTATTCGGTTTTAGGGTTTTTTACATACATAGAGGGAAAAAGTACTCCTATAATCACCCCAAAACCGATAGCGAATAAAGCTAGCGTATATTGCATCGGTGATGTAGAGCATACCTAAGTATGTATCTCAAACATATGACCGTTTACACAGAAAGTCTTAAGTCACATTCACATTACAGATTTTTCGACCCTTTAAATATAAATTGACATATAATTTCAGGAAAGAAAATCCTCCATGCTGTAAAGACGGCCTTGTCTTCTACACCGGGGTGTTGCAGATCTGTCCGGTCAATACTGACGAGTCCTGCAGGATCACGATATTCTACTTCTGTGCCTTACAACAACGACGACACAAAAGTTGATTCCGCGTTGCTACGGACGTACGACCGGCTGACGGCTCGGGGAATTCTCCGTGTATTACTGGTCAGCTCAGCTTTCCTTAGTTTTGGCGTTTACTACTATGGGGTAAGACAAAGGGTGGACTGCATTTTATAACCTGCATTCGATTGCAAACAGATTTCCATTTTTTTCTGGGTTTTTTTTTTCGAGATATGATGGCCATAAGAATAATGGCCAATAAGCAATATTTTTTTTGCAAAATCATGAAAGTTCTTAATGTTGTCTCTAGCTGTTTGCAAAAAGTTGATCTCAATTCACCCAATAAGTTGTAAGTCGAAATATAAAGTTTGACAGTGTCGAATTGTTCCATCAGCAAAATAATCATGGAATCATTTTGATTTCTAAGAACATCCAGAACAAGTTGATCTGCGGACTATCAGATCCGTGGGTCAACTATGGCCAACCCACATAAAAGCAGAGCCGTCTAATCCGCTGATCGTCTACCCGCCTCCACACGCACCATTAAACGGATTAAATCACGGCTCCGGGGTTTTATTGCTAGGCCCCTGCAAGAATGGTTATCGTGGAGGTGGGGAGATTATCAACTTGCTCTGAATGCCCTCTAAAATGAAAATCTTACCAAAAAAAAAATTGTTTTCAGTTAACCGAGTCGGCACTAGTCTCGCAGTCAGAAGGCATGATGATGTACAACTTCACTCTTCTCCATGTGCCGGATGATGCCAGTAAACTGAACGCATTCAATCTGGCCGTGGTCTGCCTCTTGATACCAATCATGGATCTAATCTTATACCCTTACCTAAGAAAGAAGGGAAGTAAAGTTACGTGTGACGCGAGGATATGTAAGTGCACTGATTGTAGTGTACATATACTACCGGTACTATCAATTTTATTTTAATAATCTATGATATTAGATTAAGTTACATTTGACTGCATTTAAATAGAAATACAGGGGGGTGACAAAAATATTGCACCATATTTCTTTAAGGGAACAACGGCTAGATTTGGTAGTTTTTTCAATTGTTATTTTATTAAAAACTGATTGTGTCAAGTGAGTATCTCTATTTTAGGTTTACAGAACAGTGCATTGCCCTTGCATAACACATGCTGTTATGTCAGAATTGATATTTTGTAGGATAGCTACGTGGTCTCAATACGGCCACCATCCTTCTAGGCATAGACTGATAAAGGTTCATATATCTTCTGGGGGCTATATGTTGGCCCAGGCTCTGAAGTCACTTTGGATAAGAGCGTTTCAGGTAAACGGGCGATCCTTTGCCGATTGATTTCCAATATCTTGCCACAGGTATTCAATGGGGTTTGCGTCTTGTGATTGGGCAGGCCAGTCCACCCTGTTGATATCATGCTGGTAATGCCACTCTTGCACTGCCCTGGCCCTGTGTGGTGTAGCGTTATCATCTTGAAATATAAGGGGATGGTTCTGTCCCCAAAGATGTTTTCTACCGATGCCAAAAGGTGCAGGTGGAGAATTTCAGTGTATCGCTAGTGATTCAAGTTTCCATTTATCAACAACAGCTGACCAATATAAGAAACCAATGCACTCCCAAACCATAATTGAAGTGGACTGTCTAGTGAGAAAATGCATATTCACTGGCAGATGACAAGTGGATGATGTTCTCCATAACTCACTTGTCCAGCAACGTTGTTAAGTATGGACTCGTCAGAAAAAACAAAATGGCGCCAATTCTGACCCACTGTCCAGGCAATGGTTCTTGCAGCCCATGTCACTCTTCTGCGTCTGTTTACCAAGGGGATGAGTTGCTTCCTCCTGGCAACCCTGCTGTGAATACCGGAAGCATGGAGCCTTCTTTTTACAGTCCTTTTGCTAACCTCAACCTGCAAACTGCGCAATCACTGCAACACTAATTCCTTGTACGGCTCAAACTTCCCAAGTCCCGACAGCATAAAAAGGCACCTGTCGTCTCTGGCATTAGGCCTCCTTGGGCAGCCACTTCGGTGTAACTTATGGGCATCACCAGTGTCCCCCATTCTTCTGCAAACCCTATACACAGGCAGATGAGATACACCATATCTGGCAGCTATCTGGGTAACATTGATACCCTTCTCCCTCAGAGAAACAATTTCATTTCTTTCTTCATTTGTGAGCTCCCGTACCTTCACCATGTGGCAACGTGACAGCTAGAAGGACCTTTTACCTTCGGAGGCACCTTTTGTAGTGTACATGGATGAAAACTCATCACTGGTAAAGCGAGCAATAAACCAAAAACCCGCTGAACTAACGGGTCCCCCCATGTCACATACAGCACTATTTACACAGGTGTTGCAATACTTATGTCACCCTCTGCATAATTTTTTTACGATAATTGAGTAACGTTCGACAGTACAAAATCAGTGGGTATCGTTTTTATAGTAAATGAGCAACATTTAACACCCCAAATACACATGGTTTTTATAGTAAAAAGAAATGCATGTTTATTATGTGTGTGTAGGTGACAATCTCGCAAACACAGACTTATGTGTTTCGGGGTGTGTCATGGGATAATTGTGAAGCATGATTCATTTTGTGACTTCAGCTTCAGTTAGCACCAATTATGTCTTATAGAACTATATATGAATATATGAACGTATCTATGATATCCTGTTCATACAAAAAAATGAGTAACATAAATGAAAAACCTCGTGCTTCGGAGATTTATAATATAGACAAACAGTACATTTTAAATTCTTGATATATTATGCGTGCATCTGGAAAATCATGTCATTTCAGTAACTGGTATGGCCATAGGAGGTTTAGCTGCAATTTATTCAATAGTTCTAGAGGGACGAAGAAAAGAAATTTGTGAACTGAATGGTGGGGAACCGACTCTGTCGTGGTTTTATTTAACGCCTGCGCTTACATTCCTTTCGGCGGCAGAGGTACTCGCTGTCGTTGCAGGTAGTTTCATCTTCCAAAGATGTAAAATGAGAATCCGAAATAAAAAGTCTGCATCCGTCAAGTTGTGGAGATCATATGATAAATTGCGCTTATATGTGGCATATTAATCACATGTTATTTGAAATCCAATACGAAATTGAGATTGGCTGTGCACTGTAATCCGGTGATCTCTCTATCTGTTTGTGTGCAAAATCTAGATTCTCGGTGCACTTTGCATGCTGATTCCAATCACCTACTGTGAAATTTAAAGTCATAATAACTCTTCGTTTTGGCCAAAAATTGGATTTTCCTGGTAAAAACGGCAATTTTCCCGTACTTACCAATGGTCAACGACCCCATCCCTGCATTCAAAGTTAATCCAGGGCTTTTTTCCTTAACGTACGGTTTTTTGTTAAAATCTCTTATACCCCCTTTACACTGGACGGCGTCCTTTCTGCGACCATGAAATTTGACATCGCTGTGGTCTTAATAAGGAGGCACGAGCATTGATTTGGTATCAGAATGAATGCTCAATGATCGGCCAGTTGTCGGCACGTAAAGTATTATAATTCTTTAACTCTCAAATGGGGCCGAACTGCTGGACGCAGAAGGGACGCCGTCCAGTGTAAAGGGGGCTTTAAGAGATTTTAACTGACGGAGCCCGCTCTGACATTACATAGTCACTGGTGACCTACTTAAAACCGCGGGAAAAGCAGACAACAACAACACTATATAACAATAATATAAGATTCATGAAATGTATTCGTCTTTTTGTTAAAAATGCATTTATATCCACAATGTGTGCCATTCTGTGCTGTTCGTTATCCGACGCACTGTACAAAAACTCGTAACTTACGTCTGCGGACTGCACTAGCGTTTGGCGCCATATGTTATTTTGGTCTCGAATGAACGCGAGAATCCGCGTGACACCCAAACGTCATTGGCAACGAATGCCTTGACGACCGGGAAGAAAGGCATCGAAAGCCCTACTGACAAGCACAGATTTTAGTTTTACTACAATAACGGCCGTTTTAGTGGTATAATGCAATAGAATATATTTCCATGCGTTGTTTACAATGTATTTCTTGCGGATTTTTGAATCTCAAAGGAAGAGTTATTATTGCTTTAACAGTGAAGACATTTAGATACGTTGCTGTGCACTTGGGTATTTTCTCTTGGTGCTTTAATACTGTAAATGAATTATTTATTTCATAGGATTTATGTCACAAATACCTTTCTACAAAACAGATGATGCTAAATATCGATTGTAAAAATGTTTGTTCAAAAATGTTTTATTAATGAATAGTGAAACTGAAAGTAACCGTATTGTTTACAGCCAAGCTAAGCATCCTCGTTTGATTGGCACTCATGTTTTTTTCTAATTATATTTTAGCATATGAATACTGCTACCTCCAAGGCCCGACGGGTCTCCGTTGTGTGTCGGTAGGACTTTTAGATATGACCATAGGATTGTCCAGTTTCATTGCTACTGGAATAAG